CGTTACCACTATCTGGGTTGAACCCCAGCTCTCGCATGCAGGTTCTTGCCTTAATTAATTTCCCACTCTCGGGGCAAAATCGTGTTAATTAACCTCTCACTCTCGTGACAAGGGTAGTTAAATTAATCTTGGAAATTGGAAACCAGAAATTGTTTTATAAATATTTTTGGTCAAGGTATCACTGAATTCTCTCAGTTCTTAAGAGTCACATACCGGTACGAATAATTTAGTCGGACATAATAAATTTAACAGCAATGCAATTCAAAATATAATTCATAACAACAATTGGCATAATATAAAAAAACTGAATAAATAATAATTGCAATAGAAACCTGGAATCAAAGTTGCTATGGTAATCTTGAAGTGTTACAATAATCCTTGAGCTTGATTGCAGTAAATAAATCGTGTTAATTCTTGGATGAAGAATTAACACCTAAAACTAAAAACTAAAGCTTGGAATGAAAATTACAGCAACGTAGAAAAACTCTAAAACAAGGAAATAGAAATAATTGCAAAAGAAAATTTGTTCTGAGAAAATTCCTTCGACCCCTGGTACTTTGCACTTGCACACATATATATAGCAGAGGAAAAATAGCAGTTGAAAAGTCTTGAGGAAAGGTTGAATGGAGAAAATATAGGGAGCAAGGTTAGTGGGTGGAGGAAAAATAGGAGAACGAGTCTGCCCTTGCGTTGCCCACGTCTCCATCCATTTACAACGTCCATCTTCACGCGCGTGACGGTCGTCACAGGTGGGTGAAGGTCGTAACGCGCTTAAGTAGCGCATTACGCTCGTCCGTGATGTGTGACGAGCGTTATTCTAAGTTGGGGGGCGTTACGCCCGTCACAAGGGTGTGACGACCGTCACTGCTCCAAAACTCCAAACTTTGTATTTTTAGTTCTTTTTCTCTTTGTTTATTGTCTAGCCTTCTTCATGTTGTCCTTTTCCATTGGTTTGAGTTAGCAAATGTTATACCTGTAAAAAGACAAATAATCTCGGAATAATCGGGGGTTAGACGACTTAATGAAATATAAAATCGGTAAAAAGCATAGTAATTTATGATATGTTTTCTCGTTATCACTCAGCTTCAGGGTATGTCTATGGGTGCAAGTGAAGGTTTTAAGGACTATGCTCAGAAGTGGAGAGATTTGGCTGGAAGAGTCCAACCCCCTTTGTCTGATAGGGAATTGGTTGATATGTTTCTAGGGACATTGTCTGGTCCATTTTTCAATCATCTGATCGGCAGTTCGTCATCTGGGTTTACTGAATTAATTTTGACTGGGGAGAGAGTAGAAGCTGGTATCCGAAGTGGTAAGATACAAAAAGGTACTTCATCAAGTGCAGAAAAGAAGCCATTCACTAATAAGAAAGAAGCCAGTGCAGTCTACGGCTCGATGAGCCAAAGCAGACTTGAACGCCGTCAAGCAGTAAATGCGGTAGTAATATCAAGACCCACCGTTGCCCCACAATGCAATAATCAGTAAAGAATGGAGAGACCGTAAAGACAGTACACTCGGCTTAATATAACCTTGTCTCAAATTTTACCATAATTGTTGAAGACCAATCTGGTAACTCTGAGGGAATCCCCGAAGAATCCAAGCACCACATCTCCTCTGTATAATCCGAACGCCCGCTGTGCCTATCACTCCGATAGCCCAGGTCATGATACAAACAACTGTTGGGCCTTGAAGAATAAGGTGCAAGATTTGATTGAAGCTAAAGAGATTGAGTTTGACGCTCCGGAGAAGCCCAACGTCATGATTGCTCTCATGCCTAAACATGATCAGAGAGTTAATGCGGTTGAAGATGGTGAAAAAGAGTCAGATATCGACAGCTAGATCTACCCGACTATCAACGGTGGATTGAACAACTGGACGGCAAAGGACTTCGTTCTCGTTTCTTTTATTACACAGTAATTGACTTTTGTTTTGAGATTTGTAACAGACAGTTTGAAACTTTACGGCCTGGTGCCTTGCCCGAGGCACTTTGGCTTTGTTTGTGAGGGCTTATTATTTTTCATTTTCATATATCATCAATAAAGCATTGGACATTTTCTTGCATTACAAATTTTGCGCTTCTTGTTTTTCCTTTCTATCTCGCACTCTATCAAAAACAGCTATTATCTTACACACACTCACATATCATAATGCAGATCCACATCCACTCTGGATCCCATTGGTAACGACTCTGCTACTGTCAGTTATGACTTCGAAAATTCGATCAACCAAGCCGAGGACGAAGGTAAGGATGATTGTGAGGTGCCTGGGGAACTTGCTAGACTGTTACTACAAGAAGAGAGGGCCATACAGCCTCATGAAGAGCCAGTGGAATCAGTGAATTTGGGTATAGAGGAAGACAAGAAAGAGGTCAAGATAGTTGCAAATCTGGAGCCTAGTGTCAAGCAACGGTTGATACAGAAGTTCTATATGAATTTGGGTACATTAATCATTTATATTTGGTAACAAAAGTTCTATATGAATATCTTACAACTTCCATAAATTTTGTTTTTCAAATAACTAAAATTTTAAATAAAATACTTAAATAACCAACATTTAAAATTAATTATCAAAACAACATCGTATTAAATAAAAAAATTCGCCACAAAAAGCATGCGCCAAAGCTATTAGCACATGCACTCTTATTTTAACTCATGCGCTATTGCTTTTGGTTAGGGATGGCAACGGGGCGGGTCGGGGACAGGTTTAGCTAGCCCCGCACCCGCACCCGAATCCCTGTAGTAGATCCGCCCCCGCCCCAAACCCGTTCGGGGGTAGAAATTTAACCCCCAGACCCACCCTTAATGGGTAACGGGTCCCCCGCCCCACCCGCGAAAACTGTTTTTTTAAAATAAAAAAAATACATATTTTTTTCCATAAATTTCCTGGACAGCGTGAACAAATACATTAAACAGTCCAAAATCCACCCTTAATTTGAGTAAATAATTGTAAGATTTAATATTCAAACACTATTACAAATGTTTTTCAATCATAACCCTCAAATAAACAACTATGATTGGTTGTGATTCATTAAAAGAGTGTAATCATCAAAGTATAAATCACTCACAACAACCAACGATTTTGTACAAAGTGAAAATATAAAAGTAAAACAATACCATCAATAAAAGAATCATTCCAAAAACATGGAACAAAATATACTAAATCATTACAACAAAAAAAGTTCCAAACAAACAACAAATTTTCTATTAATCTTCATCTTCGAGGTGGGAGTTGGAAATAGAAGTAGCACCATCGATCAACAAATCACCTGTATTGAAAAATAAAAGTTAAAACATAAAAATTTAACTTGAAAAATTTAATACAAATAGTATTAATAATACCTTCATCATCAGACTCCATTTCAGTGAGTAAAATAGCATTTTCATTTTCCACGTTAGATTTCAAATTACCTATCAATATAGTAAAATATAGTCAATGATAGTCTTGGCAAGTAAAAAAATAAAATAAAAACAAGAAAGGTCTTACCATTATTCCCAGCACTCCATAACCAACTTCTTGCACACATCAAAGCTTCTAAAGTGGTCAAATGAAGTCGACTTCGATGAGGGCTTACGACATGACCACTTGTACTAAATGCAGATTCAGAAGCCACAGTAGAAACAAGAATTGCCAATACATCTCTTGAAATTGCTTGAAGTGTTGGATACTTAATGCCATTCAACTTCCACCACAATAAAATATCAAAATCTGGACTTCTTGGTAAAACTTCCTCTTCCAAATAAACATCCAACTCTGTTTTAACAGATGGAGTTATAGCTCTTTTTTTATTATGACATACAAATCATAGTCTTTAAAACCATCGTTACTAGCATTACCAACATTAGCATCCAACGTTTCAGATTCACTTCTAGAATCCTTGTTCATTTTCTGTTGATAATCATAAAGCAACTCGTAACACACCTATCTGATTGACTTAACTTGGAAATCAACATCATTCCCATAGAAGACTCCATAATAATATTCAAGCAAATCAGTTTTATACCTAGGATCCAAAACAGCGGCAATCCCCATCATTTCATGAACCACACTCCAATATTTTTCAAACTTTACCAACATGTTTTCTGCCATTCTTTTTACCAATTCATCAGAGGATTCAATCCATTAAAGTAATGCAACTTTAATCTGACAAATCTTAGGAAAGTATTCATTGGCAGTTGGATACTTAGTTCCAGAAAACACTTTAGTGATAGAATTGAACAATTTCAATTTTCCACAAATCTCTTTTGCAAATTTCCAATGTAGACTTGTTGGCAAACAAGTGTACTGAGTTAGCTAATCTATTAAATACTTCTTCATACAAAATTGCAACATCAAGCATCTTGTAGGTAGAATTCCATCTAGTTGGACAATCTAAAACTAAATTCTTGGTGCAAGGTATTTTTAACTGTTTGGATGTCTCCTCAAACCGTTCCTTCCTTTTAGGTGTTGCAGTCCAAAATGCAACACTATCTCGAATCCTCTCTATCCCATCTTTCACAACTTCTAACCCTTCTTTTACTATCAAATTTAGTATATATGCACAACAACGCATATGAAGTAAGGCCCCATCCTTTAATAATGTCTTCGGTTTCAACTTAGCCTTAATTTTTCCAATCATTGCATCATTTGTGCTACAATTGTCCAAAGTGATAGTAGACAATTTTGTATCAATGTTCCAATCCATCAAACATTTAACCAATGCACCACAAAGATTTTCACTAGTATGAGGTGCAGGAACATAAATAAGCCTAACATAATAAGATTCAAAAAACTAGCATAAATGTGACATTAACAACTAAAAAGTTAATCATTGCAAACTACATTAACAGAAAATCACCAAAGTAATGTGTAATGAGCATTTTAGATTTACCTCAAAATGTGACTCTGTAAATTCCAGTTTCCATCAATGTAATGATAAGTGACATCCATATATCCCTTTTTTTGATTGCTCGAGGTTCAAAGGTCAGAAGTAATGACCACTCTTCCTTCAAGATTTTCTAACAACTTCAAAGTTGATGATCTCTCCATATTGTATACTTTGAATATCTCTTTTTTTATATAGTATTTCTACAAGGAACTTGGAATATTGGTTGGAGATAAGTTGAGTATCTTCTAAAACCAATATGATCCACTATTAAAAGCAAATATTCATGCAAAATAATTGCATGTGCAAGCTCTTTCTTAGAATTTTCTGCATCATAAGTTCCAGTACTCAACTCTTGTTTACCTTGCATGGTTCTAGGCGTAAGAAATGTCTGTCCCTTATCAGATGATTTCAAAAGCTTATTTTTGAGACAAGATCCCAAATGTCCTTTTAAATGTGTCGTCCCATCATTTGAGGATCCATTAAGCTGCTTTGAGCAATAATTACATCGAGCCTTATCTTTTCCATTAACTTTGATCTTTGTAAAATAATCCCATACAAAACTTCTATGTCTGGATCGACGACTTACGGTTGTTTGGCTATCAACCTCCATAATATCATTTGGTGTTGGAGGAGGAGCATCAACTGATTGGTTACCAATTTCATTGGGAATTGGTTGATGTGTACTTTCTTGTGAGATAGATGGACATTGTGTTTGAGATACCATCATTTTCCACAACTAATTATCCTGTAAAATAATTAATTTGTACATAAGTCTCACAGTAGCACTTACAAGAATAATTAACTTGAAAAAAACATTACTGACTTTTAAAATATGCATAGTCTCTTAGAGCATTTACAAGAATAATTTACAAGCATTTACATACCATCATTTTAAAATATGCATAGTTTGCTTTACATACCATCATTTACAAGCATAAAATATCCACTATCCACTGACTTTTATGCAACATTACTGATGCAACATAAAATATGCATAATCTTCGCATTGTTAATTTCTAATGCTGCTAATAGTCTTTGTTGCTAATATGGTGACAGTTAAAAGTCTTCTTCAACTTAAGAAGAAGCTCATGTGGAAAATTGAAGGGATTTAGAAGGCTATTCAGAAAGGCACACTTAGGTAACAATTGGAAAAGCACACTTATCACACTTAGCACAATTTAGCTATAAATTTTAGCATCTAACATTCAACATTTAAAAAGAAACTAACAGAATGCTATAATAGTTGCTAAACATGTAAAGGGAACACTTAGCATGATCACAATTTTACAAACTGCCAAATTACCACACAAGAAGCATGCATTTGTACCAATACAATACAACATTACAAACAAGTTCTAAGAAGAAAAACTAAGAAGCAATATATTCAACAAACTAAGAAGCAAAACAAAATATGCATTTAAGAAGTATGCCTTGTTAAAAGAATTACTAAGAGTCAACATCTTTGACTACCTTCATTTTCTATACTACTCCTTGAAGAAAAAGAATGACTCAACAAAGTCTATATGATTCTGTGTTGATTCATTCCATCAATTTTATTTCTTATGATTAAGAATCAACAACAACTTTCATTCTTATGATAGAGGACAAGGAGTGGTAGAATACATATGAATCCAAGTTTGAAATGAACACCAATTCAACATCTTATCACACAGAAAGAAGAATTCAAATAACAGGAAATTTATGTTTCCAATCTTATACGGTATCGAAATCTTTGTTGTTTTCACATTTGAACACATAGTCTATTACTAATCCCTAACATGCATCTCAACTAGGGAGGACAAATTTGGACAGATAGTTTGAAATCACCATTATCTTTTTTATGTAAATAAATTGGGTCGGAGATGCCAAACAACAATGTGTAGCTAAAACCCAGATAAAATCTGACAAGCTAAAACCTTTGATTCAAGAAAGAGGACATAGATCTAACCTTTGAGTTTGAAATCCAACGGCTGAGCTGAATGGCTGGTGTGCGTCGGAGTTAAGGGGCTTGCGCACAGGGGGATGCCTTCGCGATGATGGCAGCAATGACGGTGCACACAGGGGGATGCTCAAAAGTTTTTCACGATTTTGTCTGTGTTGGTTGTGGAGAAGAGGAAATAGGGTTTTCAGCCAACAATGAAAATACTATAACATTAAAATAATTAAAAGAAGGGCATTAATGTAATTGCAGTATTCAGGGGCGGGTTGGGTACGGGTGCAGACGAGCGCTAGTGACTTACCGTCCCCGCCCTCGTAGTTAAAAATCGGGTTTTACCCGCACCCGCACCCAATTAAGCCGGATTTTCTCCGTTAATTTCGGGGCGGGACGGGCGGGGCCCAACGAAGGTGAATGCATTATTGTCATATCAATGCATGTGACACATATTTCGTGTATTTAAGAGATATCTTCATTTTTTTCGACGCATGCTTTACTTTTTTTATCACATACGCCAATCAAAAAGTAATACATGTGTCCGAGGAAATGACTCATGCTCTTAAATACACAAAACATGCGCCACATGTATTGACATGACAATATTGCATACGCCAAAAACAATAACCCCTTGGCTTGAATGCAAAAAAAAATTATTTGAAATATAATTATTTTAATAAATAATTGAGAAGTTGATTATTTGAATATTTAATTTAAAAAAATTGATTATTTAAAAAAAATTCTCCACAAATAAAATGTTACACCTAGCACAAATATCTTTCTCCTAAAAATCTACTACCAAACCACTCCCACAGAATATACCCATACGTCACCCCCCGGATTATAGTCTCTATAGTCGCCGGAATAGCCAAAAATGCCGATTAATATTAAAACCCGCCAAACGACAAACAGCATCAAGACACCACTAAAACCCACCTCCCCTTTCCCATTCCCACTTAAATAATATCCCAAACCAACACTCTCCTCCATCTCCACCACCACCTACCACCCCAATGGCGGCGGCGATGTTCTCTTCTTCCCTCTTCCCAACCACACATCTCAACAAACCACTTACCTCCCAATTCCGCCCTCTTTCATTTCGTCCATCGTTTTCCAGGTTTGTAAAGTTGTAATAATCTCTCTACGTAACGTTCATCTATCATCTATTGTCGATTTTATTTAACGGTTTCATCTTGTTCAGGATTCGTGCTTCTCTATTGCAAGATAAAGAGGATAAAGTTATTCTACAAGATTCTTTCCCTTCTAAAACAACCTCTCCTTCAGATTCAGCTACTGCTAGTAACTCAAGTAATGATACTGTTTCATCTCCTAGTGCATGGGAAAAAGGGGTTATCAAGGTTGAACAATCATTCAATATCTTTCTCACGGTAATTGTTTTTATCTGATTTTCGGTTTATCATTCTCTCCTAGTTTGTTAAATGAATTATCTCATTTTCAGCTTCAATTGATAATTTCAGGACTCTGTCATTAAGATACTCGATGCTCTCTACCATGATAGGAATTATGCAAGGTTTTTTGTGCTTGAAACTATTGCTAGGGTCCCTTATTTTGGTAAGTGCTTTTTTATGGCTTTGAAATATTGTTACTCTCTAATTTGTTCAGTATTGTATGATCAGCTTATGAGTTATGACTATGGACATAAGAATTGAGTTAACTTGCTTACAGCCTACAGGATTGTTTGTGTAAACTCGAATAGATATTCTTACTGTGTTGAATTGAAAGTTTGAGAACGAAGACGAGATTGGTACATATTACATAATGAATATCTTCCCCATCCTTCTGTGAAATGATAATGGTTTAGTGTTTTTTTGAAAACTCAAAATGCAACAGAAGGCTTTGTAGCACACAAAAATATTAACCTCTTAGTTGTAGTACTTGACTCTATAGTGTAACATCCCATTTGCAAAGGAGATGAAGATGGATGTGTTATTCAGTCTCATTCTCGTTGCTCTCAACAGAAACAAAGGCATGAGCTAGAAAACATCAATAAACCCGTCATTGTAAGTTTCCAATGAATCCGACTGGTCACTAAGGTGAATAAACCCATCCCGTATGAGCTTAAACCTAGCTCTACCCAGTGTTGACAATCATGGATAGCCAAAAATAGTGGATTGTTAAAATAGCGTATTGTTAAGATTCCACTATGTGATAGTGCTGATATAGTGGCTATTTGATTACATTTTGTACTAAGTAGTGCATTACGGGACGATAGCAGTTTGTCCAAATTCCGCTATGCTATAGTGCTATAGTGTTGCTATAGCAGCTATTTAACAAAATTGGCTCTACCACACTAATTCCATTTCCAATGAGAGGAACCTAGTTTCTTCATTCTTCACTCTAGTAAATTTGTGCCTTCTCAATTTGTCTATTGATTTTGAAATATGCTCTTTTTATGTGTTGATTGGGGAATATGCGTTGTGATTTGTGAATTGTGTGATGCTATGTTTGTGTATTTTGGTCTCATCTAACATGGTCTGGTCAGGCATCTGGTGTGGCATGGTGGAACTTTCTACCCATCTTGTTTAATTTATTGGTTATTCAGATATTTTATATTTGTTATTGTGGATTTCTTAACTGCTAAGTTAACATCGAACATTTACTATGCACATAGTGAGTTGGGTTTAGATAGATACACATGGTTACACCTTTTTATTTGTTTTTATATCAAAAAAGAAAGGGACCTGCATACCAGCTGTTAGTTTTTCCCCCTAAAATTCATCATATAGTGAACTTCAAAATCATCTTTCATCTATTTCAAGGTAAAATTAAATGCAAATTGATTTTAATTTACCTTCTCTCTCATCATTTCTATAACCAACAACCAATTTGAATTGTTTTTACATCTTCCTAAGCACTTTATTTTAAGAAAACCACAAGTCAAATTATTATGTTTTTACTTTTCTTAATAAGTGTGGTTTTTATTTTTTCTCTTATATTTTGGGACGGAGTGAGTACTTTATTTATTTAAGTACATGTAAATGTAGGGAGTCACTCTGCAGTGTGATTGCAACTTTTCAGCATAAGTATTAACTTTTGTTATATATATGTGACAGCCTTTATGTCAATTCTTCATATGTACGAGAGTTTTGGCTGGTGGAGACGGGCAGATTATCTGAAAGTGCATTTTGCCGAGAGCTGGAATGAAATGCATCATTTGCTCATCATGGAAGTAAGATTTTTGATAACTTTTTCCCTCTAATGCAACTGATATTCTGTTGGTTACTCCGCAAAATATGTCATTCCGTAAAATCTTAGATCCATGTGATTTTTTGAAGGGACTGTAGTTGATAATACTGTGAATTTGAATTATAAGACTTCACTGATAGCAGACTGAAAATGAGGGTGTCTCTTTCACCAACTACATTCAGATTTGTAGTACAGTGAAATAATTATACAATGGTATTTCTCAAGTTCTGCAGTATGAAATCACATGCACGTGAACTCTAATATTCACATACTTTATTGCATGCAATAAGCTTGGGTGTATGGTTGCAGGAACTTGGAGGGAATGCTTGGTGGTTTGACCGGTTTCTTGCTCAACATATTGCAATATTTTATTATTTCATGACAGCTTTAATGTATGCAATAAGCCCAAGAATGGCATGTAAGTATTATCTACTTAATTTTTGTTTCATTACATTCCCTGCTACATCATTCAATTTGTTGGTTGGTTTATCATGAAAATTTAGTGACGTGAAATCTCATGCATACAATAGATTTTGAAAAGACCAAATGGTATTCTCTTTAGCATGTACATCATTGATGAAAAGAAAATGAAGAAAGCAATTGAGTTGAAGCATTATGTACTCAAAACGAATAAAATATAGCTTATTTATCCGCCCAATCAAGCTAGAGGGAACAAACTGACCTAGTTTGCTTTTGCTAAATCATCAAAACTACCATGTTTGACTTGTATTACACATTCTAGCATTCCATACACGTCTTCTTGGTTCTTCAGTTTCTGATTTATGTATGATTTATTGCTTGTCCAGATCACTTTTCTGAATGCGTAGAGAATCATGCATTTGAAACTTATGACAAATTTATCAAGGAACAAGGAGGTAATTTCAATATTCTTTCTTTTCTTCTCTGTATTTTTAAGATTTTAATTATACATGTTAACAGTTTATAGCTTTGGTTTATGTTTTCATAATTAAGTGTGGTCCAGTAAACCATCAGACTATACTTAATAATGCTCATGAATCATGATTTTTGGTATGAAATCAGCTGTCGGTGAGCTGTTAGCTGAGTATAACTTGAAAATTGACAAGCCAAGATTATTCAAGCTGTGTAGAAAATTGGTTTTTTGTTTTGTTTTGTTTTAAACTAGTTCTGTTTTGGCATTCTTTTGTCAAATCCATCTTTCATTATGTACTGTTCTTGTCCTACATTATTCAATAGCTAACATGATTTGGTAAATTTTTTATAGAGGAATTGAAAAAAATGCCGGCTCCTGAGGTAGCTGTGAATTATTATATGGGAGATGACTTGTATCTATTTGGTAAGCTCTTCATTATTTTGACCTAAATTTGTTTACTTGAGGCAAAAAAACCGACATTTCACACTTTCAATATCATTTTTTTCAGATGAATTTCAAACTTCCAGAGTTCCAAATACTAGAAGGCCTAAGATAGGTATAACATATGAAATGCTCCATTGATATGACTTTTTTTAAAGCAGTAAAATTTCTCACATTGGTTATTTCTATTTCCCCTCTAGAGAATCTGTACGACGTATTTTTAAATATCCGAGATGATGAAGCTGAACATTGCAAGACAATGAGGGCTTGTCAAACTGATGGGAACCTCAGGTCGCCTCATTCATATGCAGAGGACGATGATGAATCAGTCTGTACTCTTGAAGCAGGCTGTGAAGGAATTGTTGACTGTATAAAGAAATCTGTTACTTCTAATCCAGCTAAGGTGAAGTAAGATATGCAGTACAATACCTAATACATTCATTCATAAAAAGATGAAAACAAAAAGGATACGAGGTAGATTCCTCTATACTTTTAAAGATATATAAAGAATAATGGTTAGGGTCTTTAGTGATGTAAATAGTTCAAATTTGGATTATATTCCTCTAAAATGAGGGTGTAAAAGCAATTTTTTCAACTTTTATTATGTATATGCTTTAAATTAAAGCAACCGTGACTATAGTATATTTGTATTGATTTACTTCACAGATAAATATATTTTTAAAGAACATTTTTTTCTTGAAACTCCTGACGAAATATACAAGAAATCAGTTACATTTTTCTTTTTCTGAAAGTGCGATAACAGGGGAATGTTACTTAGTTTTTTCACGAGTCAATGTAAAAAAGTGTTTCTACCAAATGTTTTTTCACGATTCAATGTAAATATATGATTAGACTATTATTATTTGTGATTTGAGCTTGAATTTCTATGTCGAGAAACATGGTTGAGCTCAAAAAAGAGAGAAATATACTAATAGGATTAAATGGTTTAGTATAAATTCAATGATAAAAATTCATTATAATTAATTTATAATACATTATATAATGATTATGATTTTAACTGTCTTATTATAGAGTTAACTAATTAATAACTATTTATAAATTTTATACTAACGTTTCATCATATACTTTATTTGAGGATGAGGATGGTGGTTCTCTCTACTTTCTTTCCATGATTTTTTTAATAAGAAAACACAAATAAATTAAAAATATAATTCTTTAAATATTGAATAAAATTATGAAGTTAACAAAATAAGTATTACTATTTCATTGTGCAAACTTACCTAAAAAAAGCTAGTACTAATAATCTATAGCAATATTCCTATATATTGCAAATTTCTGCATATGACCACCAGAAATAGCATATGAAAAACAAGGATCTTTACATCCAATGGTAAGTTTCTCTCTCCCATGCATTCTTCTCCTTCATTTGAATCACCTCCATTTCCAGCATTGATTTCGATTTCGATATTCATTTTCATGCTTCTTGTTATTTTATAAGTCGAACGAACATCTTCATTTTTTACGTGCATGCATGCATAAGCAAGCAATAACATAAAACTTGAACAATGAGGAAATCCGGTGGTAGAAGAAAAAAAGATAAAGTTGGATCCCCGAATTCCGGTTCGCAACCGAATTCTCCATCATCACCGAACACCGCGGCATTCAATCCTCTCCCAAGCCCAAAGAAACCTGAACATAATTCTCCATTGTCATCAAACACGGCGGCGTTTGATCCTCTCCCAAGCCCAAAGAAGCCCGGACATAATTCACCTCTCAAGCCTGAGCCCAAGCTCAAGCCCGAGTCTGATTCCTCAAATGAACATGGTATGATTGCGTCGAGACAGTTGAAGCTTGCTTATGATCATGACATAAGGCTTGCACAAATGCCAATAAATTGCAGCTTCAGAGTATTAAGAGATTTAGTGAAGAAGAAATTTCCAACGTCGAATTCAGTTTTGATAAAGTACAAAGATAACGATGGCGATTTGGTTACTATAACCTCCACCGAAGAACTCAGGTTAGCCGAATCTACTGTCGATAAAACCTATTCAATTGGAACTCTGAAACTAAATATCATCGAAGTTAGTCCCGAACAGGAACCACTTTTGTTGGAAGAAGGAGAAAAGAAAGAAAAACGTCTAGATTGTGTTTTGGATGAAAAAAATGGCAGTACTGAATGCAAGAAAGTAGTAGAGAATGTAGAGGTTGATGATTGGTTATACGAATTCGCTGAGTTATTTAGCTCGCATGTTGGTAGCAATCAATCTATTGATTTCCGTGAGTTAGGGACGGAGTTTTGCTCAGAGGCACTTGAAGATATAGTGACCTGTGATGAAGCTCAAGATCTGTTTTATAAAGCTGAGTTTAAGTTTCAAGAGGTTGCTGCTTTGGCGTTTTTCAATTGGGGAAATGTCGACATGTGCGCTGCTAGGAAGTTGGGAAAATTAGATGAGAATGAGAATGAGGTTGTTGTAATGAAAGAATCAGAGTTTGATTTTGTCAAGGAAAAGTACTATTTAGCGCGAGAAAAGTACGAACGCGCGGTGGTGATTAAACCTGATTTTTACGAAGGATTGTTGGCTATTGGACAACAACAATTTGAATTGGCTAAGCTTCACTGGTCATTTGGTATGGTGAATAAGATGGATTTAGGTAAAGAGACGCTGCGGCTTTTTGATGTTGCTGAGGAGAAGATGATGGCCGCGAGCGATATGTGGGAGAGGTTGGAAGAAGGGAAACTTGGTGGGCAAGTAAGTGTTGGTATGAGATCACAGATTAATCTTTTTTGGGGGAATATGTTGTTTGAAAGGTCTCAAGTGGAGTTTAAATTGGGAATGAGGGATTGGAAGAGAAAACTGGATGCTTCCGTGGAGCGATTTGAGATTGCTGGAGCTTCTGCGGATGATGTTTCGACAATTTTGAAGAAGCATTGTTCTAATGGAAATGCTAGGGACGGAGAACCAAAGGGATCACCAAGAACCCAAATCAAAATGATGAAATAGAGATGAATGATCGGGGTTGAACTATAGTTCTGTGGCTGTTTTCCTTAGAAATTCACAGGAATTTTAGGTAATATAAGGAGATTATTTTTGATCATTTTATTCTGCAGTAGAGTTTGCAATAACCATTTTTACACAGCAAATATTAGTCTATTGTTCATGTTCTCTTGCTATCATATGAATGTGTTGTTACGTTGTGTTAATTCCATGCTATCTTGAAAATGTTTGTTTGATTATTTTATTCTTTCAAATGTTGCTTGTGTTGCCTATTTTACAGTGAGGTGTTGATGTGTTACATTGAATTTATTTGTTTAGTAGACATGGTTTGTTGTTTTATTTTAGGAAATCAATTAAAATTTGCCAAAGGATGCACGTGAATGAAAATTTTAAACATACTTTTAACGATTCTCATCTAACATCATGGAAAAGTATATCACATGATGATATGTTTATAAGTGGAAACAATTATCGTCTTAAAATATATTATTAAAGTCTTGTTTAAAATCTGGATCACCTGCTATCTGATTTGTGTTAATGAGTCTCACATCGGATAATATATAAGTTGATCATATATTTATAAGTGAGAGCAATCCTCACGGTTGAATTAGATCTATGAGATATGGATGAGTGTAAATTTTTTAATGCTGAATAATACTCTCATCTCAAAAGCTGTTGTTATCCATAGTAAAAGTAAAAGTACAAAAGCAAAAATAGATTGTTTCTCTGGTAAGGTGCATAAATAGCCATGCATGATTGTTGATTTTGTTGTTATCCATAGTAAAAGTAAAAGTACAAAAGCAAAAATAGATTGTTTCTCTTGTAAGGTGCATAAATAGCCATGCATGATTGTTGATTTTATCATCACATGGATTTAAGCAGATGAGAAAAGTCATGTTCCAAGTTTTCAGCTTATAGTTATTTCATTATGTGTTAACCAGGTGTTTCCTTAAGAGGAGAAACATTAAGGTGTTCTCGGAATTGATCTTTGCTTAATAACATGTTTGAGATATCTTTTTCTTTTTAGTTATGGAATCATGGATAAAACTCTTTAATTTCTCCTATATAGTTAAAAGTTAATAGACGAATCAGCCTTTAAAGTAGTTTTTTTTCCGAGTAGTCAGTCTAAGATAGCAGGATGACCTCTATTTATTTATTTTTGAATGAATTATATGAATCATATAAGGAAGAACAAAGTATAGAAAGAGAGACAAGAGGGGGATTTTTTATTTTTCTTTAGAATGACTGAAGTGCAAAAACGTCGATGAATGAAGGTTAGAGTTGAGTCTCAACTCAAATTTGATTGAAAAGTTTAAAATCACATTTAAAATGTTTCAAATTTTGAGGGTAGTTTCGATTTTTCAAAAAAGAGAAGAATAGTGGAACATAAACTGTTTCGGGTCGGGAACCGCTCCCCCTCTGCTACCCGCTATTTACCCTATAATAATTATTATAGTATTCTACACCACTAAGACTCTTTTCATAACCTCATAGAGAAATAGCCTCATTATTAGATGCTATTAACTACTCTGATTTTTGATTTTTTTTTTCCGCTTTAAAAGATTACGTCAAAGAATGAACTTTGTTCCGGTTGCATATTCCTTCGTTCTTCTAAAGTGTTAAATATTGTGTTAGATTTTTTACCAGAAAATAAACTATGAAATGCACATGTAAAAAATAAACTATGAAATGCACATGTAAAAACAACCAAAATTTAAATGATAACTTGCGGGGAGGAATAGACTTGGTTGAATGACTATGTGTTTAAATAAATTGTACAATAAGATATTTATAAACAAAACTAGTCTTATTGAGCTAAAAAATATTTATAAACTCCCATGACTTTCTTTAACTTTAATTTGAAAGAAAAAAAAATCCCCATCTAGTTGTCAACTAAACCTTAATCCATTTTAGATGTTTGCGATGCTAACTCCTTAGAATATTTTATCTTAGAATATTTTGTTTCAATATAAAAGACTTAATTGATATTTGTTAATATTGTTTTGGAAATAATGTCTATTTCTGTAAATATAAAATATCTATAGTTTTCTTAATTTCAGATTTATAAATTGAGATTATTGTACTATAAATTTAAAAAATTAGGTTAATATAGAAATAAAAGACAATTGGACAATACATTGCGCCGTTACTCATTTTTAGATTGCAAAATCAATTCTCCTAAAAACTATATCCGTAGACCTAAGAGATACACCATTATTATTTGTAGGTCTTTGAACTCTCTGTAACTGCTTCTGGTGCTAGGAAACCAAAAGCGTCAAAGAAAAATGGTATAAAAATATGTTGATTATCATAACACAATTTCTCATGTTTGACCACTTTACTGAAAGCATATTTAAGAGCTGTCTGTCCCACAGTAAAATCACCATCTCTCAAATCCACCAATGGAGAAATTCCCGTCAAACCCACACAAGCATATTTCCCTCCCACCCACCCGCACACCAAAACATCTGATGGCCTAAGTGTCGATCTCCCCTCAAGCGGGTCAGTAAAAAAATTCACAGACGCCTGTTTCTTCACAGATACTCCGTGACATTGAAATATATCAATTAAGACATCCCCAATAAGGTTATGTCAATAATTGAAGCCCAGAAGCTCCCTGCAATGAATCATGTGTTCCTCAAATGTATTCAAACATGCCTTACGACAAACTGGGCAAACATCATCAATAGAAAATAAAGGAATCATAAGGTGGTATCTTAGGATAGTACGATCTCCACCGATGAAATATATTGGTATAACCCATCAATAGGAATAACAAGGAGAAAGTCCTGAGCATGTGCGGCTTACAAACAACCAAAAACTGCCTTCTCCCTTAAGGTCATGTCAAACTTCACATCCATGTCCTTAACAATTTTACTAAAAAGGGCACTCACCAAAGCATGTTGTACTTTAGGAGGGACGATGTTCTTACTAGAAAAATTTTAAGGTCAAAATCTGGAATCGCAACACTAAGACTATTCAAAGCTTTGCCAAAATCTGAGTCCATATGATACACCTCATTGTATCTCAATATATGATCCTGCAACACCCAAGATTGGGTCCTGGAAGCCAGAAAGGCATATGAGGCAGCCTCTACAGCTGAGTACAAACCCAAACCCCCAACTCTAATGGGTAATGAAGCCACATTCCATTCAATGTCCCCCAAGAAAGGACTTCCACCAACCACGATGTCTTCAACCTCCTTCCACAATTCTTTATCAAAACAAATAGCTGCTTCCTCCATATGTGTAGGTTGACACGTTCTTAGGCAAAAAAAAGTTTGGCATACTCATTCAGGATCAAAGTAGAAAAAAAATCACTCTGAGGATCCCTTAGTTGTGACATAAAGTGCATTAAATCAATAGCCTTGGAAGCTCTATTCTTAGAAAACTCCTTAATGAAACCGTCATCCTGACTAACATCCCTTCCAAGCAACTTCATCCCTAACAGCGGCCTCCTAATTTCTGACGGGAATAATTCTCACGAAGTTTACTACCATCACATGAAGTCCATTACGAATATTCAACTCAAGACCTAATCCTGGACATGTCTTCCGAATGATATCAAGGGCTTTAGTCACCTCCTATGAATCCCCTATAACAGTCCCATCATCAAGATACCAAGCATGAAGAAGAAGCTTACAATTTTCCCTAACTTGATGAATGAGTGAGTGTAACACAAGAGCAAAACGGAACGACCCTAATGGGTCACCTTGTTGCACTCCGGTGGCTGACATAATATGTCAATCTCCAAGGTACAACCTTGCCACTTGGCCATAAATAAACTTAACCCACAAAGAAATACATAGGCATCTCACCTTCACCTCGCGCAATAAGGCTGATCAATCTACCATGTTGAAATCATTTGAGAAATATACAGTGAGCATAGCCAAGGAACCATCTCTTTGTCGCTTGCTTAATACCCGATTAGCACTATGCAAAATGGCCTAAGCACCACCCGATATCATAACCCCAAACTAAAAGTCATTCAGATATCGTGCCATATCTTTATTGACCCCTTTCATAGTAACCTTGGATACCAACTGTCTCCGAATAGAATCCACAAAATTGGTCGTATCCCACCATCATGGTTTAATAACAATGTTAATGGTGCAGAGGCAACAAACTCCGCCAAACTCATGGGACATCTTCCTCCTAGCCATAAGTTAACAACTAGAGTGATTGTGTTTAAAAGATATATCGCCACAGTAGAACCTTCTACATACAATGCATATAAAATATGTTGAGCACGCAGAGCATCTCTACCACATAACGTCCCTTTGGGAAAGGATTTAATTCACTCGAAGATAGTATCTGCATCAGTCACTAGGGGAGATTCTGAGAATAAGGTGGTGGGAATGGAGGGAGGTGGTCTGTATGGGTACTTAGCCTCCAAAGCCTTCATTATATGTTCATTATAGGGGCCACATCAGATGATCCTAACACTTTTACAGCCGCTGTGAAATGGCATCTGCAATCTTGTAGAGACATTGCTTGACATTAGAGCTTGTCTTCTTATCTTTTTCCCCAATATAAACACCCCTGGGAGCCGAGTTAACTTTGCTCCGAGCTTCCCAACACACTATCAATTAACTTGACATGACCATCCACGTCTCTCCAAGTAGCTAAACACTCCAAAATATGGTGTTGCTTCAAGGACTTCTGATTCACATACCTGCGATCCCACCTATTTTGAGACTTAACCACCTGTAATGTACAACAAGAGAGAAGTAAAAACCAAACCCATGCACCTACTGATCTCAGATCAGCAACCACCTTGTAAAGATTATCTTTCAATGTTTGAAACAACACAAAACAACAACTTAGAGGTATACTTTTCACATTGAAGATAGTTGAGGTAAGAAATCTCTCTAATAACCTTGCATCCAAAATAATCTCCTCGTTTCTTCGAGGTTATTTGACTCAGTTGTGGATGGTTTAATAATACCCACAATGTGACTTCTGACCCCTCTCGTCCCATGAGTGGGACGAATAAGAACATCAGGA